GAGGGCATGGCAGGAAAATGCTGCTTGTTTAACAGGTAAGCTCCTTTTAATAAACTCAGGGGTGAGTCTGCAGTTCAGGGCAACCTAGAATGTAGCCCCATAGTGCCTTCAGTCTTATGAATCCCAAGTATGAGACACCAAGACCAGTTTTGTTCTCTCTTGACTCTGCTCTGTATCTTAATGACCATTTCCCCACCTCCTTCTCAGATTAAGGAAAAGACACAACTAAAAAGTAGTTATAACAAGCATCAACATGACAATAGCCATGATAGAAATCAGACACATAGACATTTAAATGTCTTCTTAGATTCACAGGTCTAGGGTAATCCAGTGCCTCAGGACTGAGACAAGACCTTATAGCCCACATTCCAGAGCTGACCATTTCTGAAAGCTAATGAACCCTAGGGCCACTACCTAAGACTGAAGTCACATTCCTTCAGAGACCCTGCCATAAAGGATGTCTCTGGCACTGGGGCCTGACTATCCTCTAAGCCCCTGCTATGCTGCATGGTCTGTAACTAACTCCTCTAACAAACTTCTCACTCACCAGTAATCTGTCTCAATATGCTCTTGAACCTCCCTAGCTTGAGGGTCACTGAATCTCTCTTTCCATCTCCCCATTGTGCTCTTTCTGCACTTTCTGTGTTCTGAGGCCTCCAGACTCCACACACTTTCGTGCCCCACCAATATTTGAGGCCCTAGGCGGCTCCGCCTCTTTCGCTCAACTCTCTGCCTGCCAAGGCACCTTGTGCAGGGAGGGTATGGCATCTACTGAGGTTCAGGGCGCTAGTGAGACTGCTACACCCTGGGAGAGTTCTCTGTGCAGCTCCTGGTGACTTCATAAGGAGTCCCAGAGGGAGGAAGAGGCAGGCAAGTGGGGAGGGGAGGGAAAGGGAAGCGCCAATGCTGGGATACGGTGTGGGATGATCAGTCTTTCCTGAGCCAGTGACAGGGTCTCCTTCACCCACCTGGAGAGAGGGAGGAGGAAGGCGTTGGAATCCCGGTGGGTTTGGGGCAGCTAGAGGCCAACAGGTTGCTAAGCTATTCCTGGTGCTTGCCTGCCTCGGTTTCTTCTTCCCTATCCGTTTTGTGGATGGATCCAAGGAACTGAGCTAAGTGCAGCCCCGCTCTGCTTCCCTTCCCTTTTATTTTTATTTTTTATTTTTGGTTTTACGAGACAGAGTTTCTCTGTTTTGAAGGCTGTCGGTCTAGCCTGGCCTCGAACTCACAGAGATCCGCCTGCCTCTGCCTCCCGAGTGCTGGGATTAAAGGCGTGCACCACCAACGCCCGGCTCTTCCCTTCCCCTTTAAAGTTGTTTAGAGAACTGGATGTCTGGAAGCTGAGCATTCCTGCCACACTCATTTTGCTCTTGCGGGAAGCAGTCGTTGAGCTGTCACCAGTGAACCACACAGGGTCCATACCACACTGGCAGCTTCTGTTGGGTAGGGAGGGGAGGAAGGAGGGAAGCCATGATGGGTAGTCTTTTTCGGGCAGGAGTTCTTTAATAAGGCCAGCCACACAGCGGGCTTCTGAAGCAGAGTTTCAGGACTTCTGGACATAGTGAGGGGTCTATTCTTGAAGGTTTCAGAAGGAGGAGGCATCCTGCATTACAAGGGAGCAGGCTCAGTTAATGTGCGACCTGTGCCATAAGACAGAGATAAGAGAGTAGGGAGTCTAGGCTATGTGAGAAATCACAGAGAATGCCTGACAGGAGAATTGGCGCTGGGATAAATTGTGACTTCAGGCACACTCTCTTTGACCCCAGGCAACAGGGGGCAGTATTATTCCAGTCTGCTAGTAGCCCTTTCTGCTAAGGACCTGAAGGGTTCTAACAAGCTCTACACAGACATAGCAGACTGTGACTTACCCAAAGAAATGCAATTCAGGGTGAGTCTATGTGAAACTGAAGTGGATTTGTTAAAGAAAGATGGGGAAAGGAAGAGAGTGAGAGGGGAGGGAAGTTGAGAGGAACAGTGGGAAGGAGAGAAAAAGGTGGGGAGAGAGATGGAATGGGAGAGAAACCAGTGCATCCTGTAGGGTGAGCTTGGGCTTTCCCAGGGAGATGCCAATGAAGATTTTCCTGGTGCTGTATTATAACTTCACAGAGGGCTAAGACCCCTCCCCTTTCAACATTTCTCAGAGTAATCTCATCTGGGATCCTCATTCCTCACTGTAAAGTATCTTTGGCTGTATAAGAGAACTTGCCCAGGTTCCAGAGTTTGAGACCCAGGTATCATGGATGCCTTTGCTGGGTGAGCACAGCTCTAACTGCCAATGCATACTCTGTATTCCTATTGTAAAAGAGGATTTTTCTAACAGGTAGCTCCAAGGTCCTCCAAGCCACGTTGACTGACCCAGCTCTGGGAAGTTGTTGGATCCACCCTGTCATGGAGTAGAATGCTGCCTGCTGCTCATAAACCCCATTTAAGTGTTCAGTAGCAGGGCCTCTTAAAAGAGCAGAGCCTTTGTTTGCCATAATACTGAGCTAAGAAGCCACCTCTTAAAGGAGCCATGCCTCTGCTTGCTACTAGCAAACAGAGCTTACCCAAGAAAAGGCAGTTACTAAGAAGCTGCATTTGACTCCATCTTTCTGTCCTTAGAATCTTTTTTAACGCTTTATTAGGTATTATGTGGAATGCTATATGTAGGTGGACTTTTCTTTCCCAACTTCCAGTTCACAAATAACCGATGTGGAGATTTAATATTGATTATAAATGCTTGGCCAATGGCTCAGTCTTGTTACTCGCTTGTTACTTGCATTATACATTAATCTATATCCCTTATCTGCCTTCTGCCATATGGCAGTACTTTTTAACATGACGTGTTCATCTTGCTTCTCTCTGCATTTGCTTGTGACTCCCGAGACTCTGCCCTTTCTCTTCCAAGCATTGTCTCTGCCCTGAAAATCATGCTTACCTTTTGGCCAATCAGTTTTTTTATTAACAATGAGAGCAACACATGTTTTGCAGTACACATAAGGGTTATTTCACAGCCTTTCTCCCATATTGTTCATCTTGTTTGTGTGACTGTGTGAGAGGATTTATCATTTCAAAAAGCTTTCAAATTATACAAGAAATAGCTTTCATCGCATCAAAGGATTCAGATGTGGAAACAAAACTCATAACCCCAACTCTCATCCCTCACCCAAGGAGTGACCACAGTGACAGGTCATGTGTGTCCCCTCCTCACTTTGTCCCAGCACAGGGAACTGTGTACACACAGAAATCTCCACAACACAGGGTCATATTAAATATGTGGGGGGTTGGATAGGGAGTTGGTGGGGGGGGAGTAATGGGAGGGCAGGAGGGAGAGGGAACTGGGATTGGTGTGTGAAATAGGATTGTTTTTAATTTAAATAAAAATACTGTAGAGTAAAACGAAAGCAGGGAGAAAAATCTATATAAAATATACAGAATAGGTAAATCTTCAGAAACAGAGAGAAGATTGGTGGTTACACAGGCAGCAGGAGGGAAGAATGGAGAATTGCTGCTTGATAGTTATGCAATGTGCTTGAAAGGGGATTAAAGATGAGGATAGCATTCTCTGACAGGCACTGAAGTTTTTATCTATATATTGTTGATTTTTGTTACAAGAATAATTGCGCCGGGCGGTGGTGGCGCACGCCTTTAATCCCAGCACTCGGGAGGCAGAGGCAGGCGGATCTTTGTGCGTTTGAGGCCAGGCTGGACCGATAGCCTCCGAAACAATACAGAGAAACCCTGTCTCGTAAAAACCCAAAAAAAAAAAGAATAATTGCAGTAAAAAATTCCTAAAAGGCAACAGTAGGCATTACATACCCATTAATAAACTTAGAAATGTCTTTATTTTTAAATTTATGTGTATGTGTGTGAGTCTGAGTGGGGATACCTGTACCTTGTGTGTATAGAAGCCCACTGAAGATGAAAGAGGGCTTCAGCTTCCCTGAAACTAGGGTTACAGGAAGTTGTTAGCAGTCATGTGGGTGCTGCAAGAGCAGCAAGGCGGCCTAACTTCTGAGCCATCTCTCCAGCCCCATTATTGCACTCTTACATGGTGAAATCACTTATAACTGCCCGTAAGTGGTAGAGTATAGGCTATAAAGCATAGTAAGATATACCCCTAGCCCTTGGTAACCACAGGGTCTAGATGGGGGTTACCAAAGATGCAGAAGATTATCAGATAAAGCAATCACCATACGTGAGCCTATTACAGTTCAAAGTGCACACATAGTTGGTGAGAAAAATAAATCTATTTTGAAATGGCCTTTAAGTACTTTATAGAATTTAACTATTACAGTTGGTTGTGGAGAAACACAATAGTCCATAGAAGCATGACTTCCACAAGGAGAACAAGATGTGGTAGTCTAAGCTAGCTGCCATGACAGCTAGGTAAGTTGAAAGCAGATAGTAAAGGCCAGTAGTTAGAGGACACCACTGCACCTGTCCCCAAGTCTAACAAAGTGATGGGTACATTCCTGGTGAGTAGTGGATAAGAAAGAAAAATAAAGTCAAAATGTGCATTAAGGATCAATCACTAAGAAGACTGCAGTAGCTGTCATCATCCACAGAATTTACTACCATTCAAACAGATTAAGGCAAGTGATGGCAAGAGTTAAGGAGCCAGGAGAGCACCACACACACACACACACACACACACACACACACACACACACACACACACACACACACACACCTGGCATGGCTTGTCTGTGCAGTGAGTGGGGGTATTTATTGAGGGTCACCTTAGAAAACGTTGTAGGATATCTTGTGGGATTTGTTCACCTCCTTTATTGTTTACATAACAAAAAACTAAACCTCTCTGTGGTCCTGAGACCTGGCAAAGGGCACTGATGGTTGTCAAGATAAGGGGAGATGAATGTGGGCATCATAAGATCAGGCTGCCAAGAAGAAAATGTCCTCATCTTGGAACATGGCTTCCCCCTATATGCCTATCCTCACAGGGTGGGAGGAGTTGTCAAGATGCTGAAGAGATAACTGCTCCCCACATAGTGAATGTGTCTTTACGGGGATGAGAACCTGCCGCAGAAGAGGAGGCTATTGGTTTTGTTGTGCCTGATGAAGAAAAGGAAGGGGTGGTCTGCACAGAACTGTGGCACATAAGAACATGATAAACTGACTACAGTTACCATGACCGATGCTGCAGCCTCGGTGCCTTCTTCGTTGACCTCCACAACACTCTTGTGAACACACTTGGACAGACACAGGTCTCTCTCTGGAGACATTCCTGATAAGTCAGCCTTGCCCCCATGGAAGACATCCACCATTCCCAAGCATTGAAGCACGGACTCCATGTCATAATCCTCTTGCAGTTTAAACTTTGGAAGGAAAACCTCAACCTCAGTACTCTTCATGAAGTCTGGTCTGGTCCAGGCTGTTAACTTCTCAAAAGTGAGATTGTTTTCCACCTGACAAAGCAGAGTCAGAGACTTTCAGGTTCACAGTTGAGGTCTCACCCAGAGCCTCATAGCCACTCCTGCTCACAGTACCCTCATCATCCTGCAGGGGGCACTGCCTGTTCAGATGGCCAGGCAGTGTGAGGTCTCACTGTTCTGCTAGCTTGTATGTGACTTCCCTGATGGCCATAAAGGCCAACAGCCCTGGGGGTAGGGGTAGGAAGACCTGGCCATCCTCTCCAAAATCCCTTCTGAGACATCTTTTGTTCAGACAGGTGTCCATGTCTAGGTGATTATGGTTTGGGTTGGGGTTGCTTTTTTTTTTTTCTTGAACTAGCCTGAGTTTTGAAGATAGTACATCTTTGCTACATTTAAAAAAACAGAAAAAATAAGGACTCATGGTGTGAGACACACCAGAAGGAATGTCTATCCAGGGTTGCATTCTATGTATTTTGTGACTTGAATGTGAAATTTCCCCTAAAGACTCCCATACTAAACCCTTATTCTGAAGTTGGTGGCAATACTTTGGGGGGCAGCTGTGATTTTAGGCATGAGGGGGTCTAGATGAATGAAGGAAGTAGTTACTGGAGGTATAACTATGAAGGCCATTCTTGGTCCTTTGTCCCCTTTCCTTTCTCTGTTTCCTGTTTACTAAAAGGTCTGTGGTTTCTGCCACATGCACCTGTCACCATGGGAACAACGGATGGGGCAGCTAACTTGAAATGAGCGCTCTGAATTATTTGTGAGCCAATGTCAAGCCTTCCTTCCCTATCCATGTCAGGCATTTTGCCAGTGATTAAAACTAACACTAGAGAAGGGATGCTGCAGTTCAGGAGCTGGATGGGAAGAGCCAGGGGAGTTCTTCTGCTCACAAAGACCACTTACGTCATGCACGCTGCACTTCCCATCATTCAGAGGATGGCTGACATGCTGTGGGGTATCCTACTACAAGGAACACCAGGATGTGCCATAGTGATCTGCCTGACTCTGCCCTCTTCAGCTGTCAACCCTCTTCTTCCTCTTTGTTTGGGTAAAGTTCTATATTTTTCCTGTCTATTTTGTGTTCTCCCATATTAAAATAAAATACTAATGAAGACCATGTTATGAGTTATCTTTAAGGAGGGGGAGTATATTCCAAGCAGTGTGTCAAGTTCATTGTCTGGTATACATCTGTCATCTAGTGATGAAGCTATGCTCTATGTCAAGGGCACACAACACATAACGGGAGTCTTGGAAACCACTTTGATCCCAAAGCCCAGCAGCTGCACACAGCTCTAAGCTGGGGTACCACCTACTCAAATGCCAGTTGCAAATCTGCAAACATTGCTTTCTGTTATAATGAGAATTATAACACTGAATTATTTTCATGGAAATTGAGAGAGTTGGGTGCTAAGGATTCTCTTGCCTCACCTTGCCGAGGTCCACACCATCATCTGGGAGCAGGACCACCATGCTCAGCTCCATGTCCTCATAAGGCATCACCAGCACCTGTGCCTGTATTTCATCCACATAGGCGAGGTTAAAAGTGTCCTCCCTGCACATCATCTGCACTGGCCGTTTCTCCTTCTGAACAAATGAATCCAGAACATAGGAAGATGTTGAGAGAGGTCAGAAAGTTTCCAAATGAGCTGCAGTTAATGCCAGGAGTGTTTGCCTCACTCCCAATGTAAACACTATTCATGATGCAGTGAACACTTAGTCAATGTCTGCCAGCCTCTTCCTTCTTTCATGAAAATAATTGAGTGCAAGCAGATATGGGAGTGCTGTAGATTCTGTCTCTACAGTTGTGATAAAAGACCATGACCATGCAACTTGGGGTCACATTCAATCATGAGGGAAGTCGGAGCAGGAACTCAGGCACAAGCCATGGAGGCATGCTACTTACTGGCTTGTTCCCCATGGATTTCTCACCCTGCTCTCTTACACAGCTCATGACCACCTGCCCAGGGTTGGCACCACCCACAGTGGGCAGGTTTCACAGCAACCGTTAATTAAGAAAATGCCCAACAGATTTGGCCTCTAGGCCACTTTTGTGGAGGCATTTTTTTCAATGCAGAGTCCTTCTCAGATGTCTCTAGCTTGTCTCAAGTTGAGAAAACAACAACCTGGACAGCAATTAACTAGGGAAAGGTGATGTGTTATCCAGAAGAGAAATGTGCCATTCAAATATTAACATTTTAAAGTTCTACTTGTCTCTAAAATGATATAAAGCCTTTGTCCACTGGTAGCACTGCTGGGATCTTGCCAAACCTTTAGGGGATAGGGCCTCATGGGATAAGTATTGGGGAAGAGGGACTGCTGAAGGGGATATTGGTACTCCAACCCACTCCTGTCTCTCTCTCTTTCTTCTTGACTGCTGTGAGCTGAATAAGCCCCCACCATGCATTTCCACCAGGCTGTACTTGCACCGCCACAAAGTGGAGTGATTGGGATAAGTGACCCAGCCTGAGATTTCTGGAACGCTGAGCCAAAATAAGTATTTCCTCCTTTTAAGTTGATTATCAGATATTTTGTAACACTAATGTAAGGATTTTGGTCATTTAATATTGTCAACCATTGTATCTAAGGAAACAGCATAATGAACTATAAGTAACAGAAAATCTTCTTCAAGTAGACTGGAATGCTTTCACAGTGGTGTGAACAGGACTGCAGACAGATCCATCCTCTCATAAAACAGTCTGGCAACAGGAGCACACATGCTCAAAAGTTCATGATGGGTCACAACCTTCTAACCTATTACAGAGCAGGCTCATGTGGAGCTCCATCCTGACAGCCAGTCAGAGAGAAGTAATTGAATCAGTGCAAGTGGGGAACCCTCTGGACAGATGTCCATGCATCTTTGTGATGTAATTACTGTCCGAAGACCTATCACAGGCAGAAAGTTCTTGTCAATGCTTTAAAAGTTAGGGGACTGTCTGGACAGAACCTCATGAATCTTCCTGGAATTTCATTCAGTCAGCTCAGTTCTGATAGTTCAGAGATATTTTTTAAACACAGAAGTGGGCTGGCCACCTGGGAAAATTTTAATTACAGTGGTACATTAAACATAAAAATTGCTACAGACTACCCATAATAAGGATTAAGTTACCCAATAAAGGGACTCATTCTTTTACAAAGTTTCTTTCAAAGTACCACTAATAAAAAGATAGTGAGAAGTTTACCATTCATAACACTCCAAACTGCATTAAATTATATTTTTATAGAGATTGGGCAAACAATTCTAATATCTACTTTAATTCAAATTATACTCCAATTAAGACTGAGATCTTAAATACTCAGTTTCAATATTAGAAAGCTACAAATACTGTTTAATAATGACAAATTGGCCAATAATTTTAAATGATTATTTTAATTAAAGTTATTCTTTTAAATAAATGTTTGTATATTCCTTTCTGTGCTGCCTCATGCTCCATACGTAATTATGTAAGTTAGAAGCTTAGTTTTGCTATTCTAGAACATAAGAAAAATTTAGGTTCTAAAATGAGGAGGAACAATGGTTTTATGAGAAATTATCAGAAGAGTAAGTGCCACCATCAGAAGATAAAATAACACAGGTTATTTTATCCTTTTTATTCCTATCATTTTCTACAGAGTTTAATCTTTCATTCAGAAATATATAAGTTTCAAATGGTTTTCTGTGCTGTTCTGTTCTCTTTCTTTCTTGCCTGAGGGTCAAGCCCTGCACCTCACTCAGGATATGCGATCTTTGCCACTAAGCCCTAAAACTACACATTCACGATCATATGTTTCCATGTAATCTCCTCATCATGCTGGCATGAACGTTTGGATACTGTTCCTTACCTGGTTTATTTTAAAGGGCATTTCACTGGTGCTTTCTTTGTGAAACTGTTTTTGCCACCTTCCTTTGAAATATAAGGCATTGACAAGAACCAGCCTGGTCTCTGAATCAATGGAGCCTCCCGGCAGCAACTCTGGAATTTTCCCTTTTGAGGAAGCAGAGATTTCATTCAGGTTCATTTTACACATGTGTGAGAAAAAAGCTGATGTGATATCTGGGCGTATCCAAGCGTCACAGTTTCAAATTTACTGAATTTGAATAAAAAATTTTAAAAAAGAAAACAAAACAGGACATCAACATCTATGTATGACTGGAGGAATATCATCAAGGTGATAATGGTGAAAGACTCCCAAGTCTTTCAAGGAAAGCACGTTTGGGAAAAGCAGAAAAAGTGACTCCGGGATGAAGAGCAAACAAACGGGAAATTTGGAAGGCTCCCAGAGAACCACAGCTCCCCCCTGGGTGCTAATCCTGGTTGCCATCTTGATTGGATCTGGAATCAACCAAGAGACATGTCTCTGGGCAGGACTGTGAGGATGTTTCCCAGATAGAGTAACTAATGGAGAAGATGCTCCCCAGAGTGGGCAATTCCTTCCTGTGCTGCCCTGATATACAGGACTGAGAGAGAAGCAACCCTGCTTTTGTCTCCTGCCTTCAGTCCTTGCTGGTGAGTACAATTGCACTGTTAACACCTCTGAATTCTCATTTTCATCTGACACTGGGGCCCAGTACCTTCGGCCTTCATGTTGACTAAGACTCGTTGTTCTTGGGAATCCTGTAGACTTTTCATTCCCGACTGACTGGTAAGGTCTCCAGCCTCATTGACTGAACAACTACCAGATTTTAGGTGTCTCCACATGCAAATGACCATTGACTACTCAGCCTGTATCATGTGTGCCTGTCTGTTAAATCCCCTTCATAAAATGTATTCATTCTGTTCCTCAAAGAAAATCCTGACCAATATGCTATTCTTAAACACAGCATCTCATCTAGTACTCTGTCATCATGCCCAGTTCTAACATAGTACAACATGTCAGAGACTCACATACAGAAATTAGTATGAGGATTAAGTATTCCTATTCTACACATCAAAATGCCATTCATACCTAGAAAAAAATAACACAGGTCAGATGACATATTCCCTTCTTCTCTATTAAGGGGCATCCATTCAGTGGTCAAGAGAATCCTTCTAATCTATGACATCAAGAATGCACAAGTGGTACAGACTCCAACAAGAAATATACAAATACTTGATGAGTCTTTCTAGAAAATATTCTCAGTCTGTTTTCTCTCTTTCCACAGAAACAGGGATGTACCCCGTGATGAAGAGATATCTGAATGGTTTAATTATCAGATAATGACCTCAATGATATCCAAGGCCAATACAGGAGCATGTCATCTTTGAAATAAAAATAAATAAGGTTCAAACCCAAAAGGGAGGCTCTTTTAGGTTACCCATTGTGACTGAACAGCCCTGAGAGGAAATCAAGTTTAGTTTCATCAAATGAAAGTAAGAGTTCTGAAGCAGGAAGTGTGGAAACAGGAATCCTATTCAGAGGAAAAGGTGGTGGGACCTCAGGCAACAAAGACTGCAGGAAGATCCAGCACAGGATAAGAGTATGGGGACAGTCACCGCATGAATTTCAATCTCAGAGATGGTAGAGTCACCTAACCTACCAACACTGCAGACCATGCGTCTTCTAATTCAACTGCTAGATTGGAAATCAGGCTAGCTGAGTTCTCATGACATTTGTATCAGCACCTCTGACCTAGAGAAATATACAAACAACTCTATTTGTAAAATCTACTTGTCTGAATTAAACTCCCGTGAATTTACTGATGTCTAAATTATACCACATATACTAATGGTAGTCAGCATTTGACTCTCTGAAATAACAGGAAATTAGTTAATGGTTGTAGGAGTGTAAAGTAAGAGAATGGGGAGGGAAGGAAGAAGAACGAGGGGTGGATGGAAAGGACAAGAAGGAGGGGCGTGAAACAATTTGAAATTCTGACCTTCAGTCTGCTTGGAGACCCACATGTTTATGTGTTTCCTGGACTCCTCTGGAGCCTTGACAAAGGAAAGTTGCTCCATCTCTGAGTGATAGAGCTGAAGACAGGACTCCCTGAAGGTCTTTGGAAAGAAATATGTTAATGGCATAATATTGCAAAATGAAATTTCAGCAAGCTTCCCATCATCTGAATACTATGGCATTAAAAAAATAAAATCCAAGCCAGGCGGTGGTGGCTCACGCCTTTAATCCCAGCACTCAGGAGGCAGAGGCAGGCAGATCTCTGTGAGTTCGAGGCCGGGTTGGACCGACAGCCTCAAAAACAATACCGAGAAACCCTGTCTCGTAAAAACCAAAAAAATAAATAAAAAAAAATCCAAAACCGAGGGTAGGTAGATACCCCTTTAAAGAAGAAAAACATGTTTTTGTCCTAGGCCTTTGTAAGTGGGAAAAATGAGGCATGAATAGATAAAAATTACAAGCAGTCAGATTGGAATTATTTTAAGGTATCATTGTAAAATTGTGGTCTTTGGGCAAGGCTAGGTAGTTGAGGTTCTCTGTGTAGCCTTGATGGCCCAGAATTCATAACTCTCCCGTCTCAGTCTTCTAAATGCAGGTATTATTGTTATAGATCATCATGCTGACTAGAACTTGATCCTTTATTTTCTCACACAATCTAGGGTCATTCTCCCGGGACCTATAGCAACAAGTATTTGAATCCAACTGTTATCATTCTACTGACACAACTTACAGACAGAAATTCATAGGTGTTCCCTGCAAAGAGCCTGTTGGCCATTCTAAGCAAGTACTTTTTGTTGGACTTGTTCAGGTTACTGAGAAGCCCCTGGAAGCCTTGATGTATGTCTTCCTCTGTGTTGAAACCAAGTGCCTGTCAAGGAAAATGTTTCATTGTGAGCACAGTGATTAGATGCTGTGATTGCAAATGCAATTTTAAAGATGAAAAGATGCCTCAGGCAGTGGAGGAAGTGATGCAAGGCAGATTGGAACTGAAACAATTAAAAGCAGGAATTAACCTTCCTTGCCAGTGAATAATTACAAAACCTGCAGTAGAGATAAGATAGACCTTAGCAATCTGTGTTTCAAATCATTCAATATCTTTTTTTTTTTTCAATTGCAGTACTTGGGACTGACCCTAGGGGAACTGACCCTAGGTCCTCAAGCATGCTAGGCAAGAGATCTACCACTGAGCTATACTCACACCACCTTCCCTCTCACAACAACAACAACAACAACAACAACAAAACCCTTTCATTTGACACTAAGTTGCTCAGGCTAGCATCAGAATTGGGATCCTTCTGTCTCAGTCTCCTTAGCAGCTGGAATTAAAGGGCTGTACTGCCATGGCTAGTGTGAATCTATTTGTACACTGTTTTCTAAGTAAAGTCTGAACACAATTTCAAGACTTCTCTCCAAGTTATAACGCAGGGAAATTCACTGCCATGAAAGAAGTTATACTGGTTGGGTGGGGGTATGGCAGAGAATGGCTCAGTGTTTAAGAACACTGGGTGATTTTCCAGAGGACCAAGATTCAATTCCTAGCAACCCCATGGTAGTTCAAAACTGTTAACTCTTGTTCTAGGGGCTCTCACAGCCTGATACAGACATACATGTGGGCAAAGCACCAACGTATATAAAATAAAAGTAAATTGATTAAAAAAAGTAGTCTTGCTGAAGGAGACTCTCTCCATCCTCTTTAGCCCCCGCCCCATGAAACCGTGTGTGCATAGTCCTACCCTCCCTTCACAGCAGCTCTCAGGCAAGGGAAGCAGCTGTGGGGAGACAGACAACTTACCTGAGTTATCTGGACTGCAGTGTCTCCCTTGGCCCCCAAGAGGACCATAGCTAGAGCAGAGGAGATGCTCATAGGAGAGTAACACACATTTTCCGAAGGGCTGTTTTGACACAGGATCTTTAAGAGATTAATGGCAAAGGAGCCATTTGCTTCACACAGAGTATTCATGATGCAGAGTCTGGAGGCAAAGGAGAAATGGTACTCAACACAACACTGATGAAGGTTAACTGATGTGACTTAGGAAATCTCAGACTCTATTTACTCTTGGTTCTCATTTCAAAGCTCCTAAGTACTTAAATTGGATTTTAAATAATCCTTTTTGGGTGCAGTCTATTCAGTTTTTAGGTTATTATGGAAATGTGGTCATGGCAGCAGACCAAACTAGCTTCTGTGTCATCTGCATAGGAAAAAAAGGTCAGATCATCAGGACTGCACACACAGGACACAGCTGAGAGAGGTGGACTCTAGTCTCCTTCTATACTGTCCATCTCCTGTCTCTGAAGATGGTGGAGTCAAGGATACAGAGAAGGAGGAAGAGAAGAGGAAGGGAAGGAGAAAACAGGCAGGAGCATCCGGGTCCTCCAGCCTGGCTTCAGCAAAGCTGCATTCTGTGTCTGCCTGCGAAGACTCTCTGAGATGTCCAGGTGTGCACTAGACAGTGCCTCCATGTTTGCAGTGGCTGCAGGAAAGACACTGAGATGCTGAATGTGATCCTAAGACAGGCTGGTGTCACCAGCTCTACTGTGCAGCAGGGAGCATCCCCCTGCAGTGGCTGCTCAGGTGACTTGATCAGTCGACAGCACCCAGGCTGCTTTACTCCTCAGCACGCCTCATCTTCTACGTGACCGCACAGCTTTGTCCAGACTCAGTGACTGCTCCCGAACACCCCAACTGAAATCTGGGTCCCTTCACTTCCCATGGCTGTGCTCTCGCTGTCACATGACCTTTGAACAGTGCATGTATCTTCTGGATTGCTTTCTGCTGTGTTGAAATTCAGATCAAACAGCTTAGGGATTCTCAGAAGATCACAACCTATTCTTCTTCCCTATCCCCAGACAGAAGGACACAGCAGCCTGGTACTGTGCCTAGGTCAACTGATCATCCTCATAAGTCCTCCAAGGCTCTTCAGGGAAGTTGGGGCTGCTTTATATCAATGACTTACCCTCTGGTTGGTCCTCTCCTGATCACTGTGCAGCTCCACTCCTGCCCATCCTTATATCCCCTTAACATTACATGAATCCTTGAAGTGGTGTTTATTCCACTGAGAAGTCCGTCACTGTTACTAAGTTCAAACTATTCAACTGTCCCTCCTTTATTGGGACAGGACAACCTCAGGGTCTCTGCTCTGCTACTCCAGTCCTCCTGCCTATGCCATTTCTTTCTTCACTTCTAAGTGAACTCTTTCTCTTACTGACTGCTGTCTCCACCATACCCAGAGTTCTCTGAAGACAAGGGCGATGCCTGGCACCTTGATTCTAAGCACATGAAGCATGCTCAGGATAAAGGTTACAGCTAGGTTATTCAGTGAACATGTGGTGACATTTTAAAAAAGGGAATGAACAGTGCTCAGGTTGGAGTGGAGCCTGCAGATCTCAAAGGGCCCAGAAGTAAGAGACGATATTTTGCAGAACCTTGAGAATAGGGCAGAGGCATTCAAATGGGCTAGGTGATAGGACATGAGAGGAAGCAGGACAGAGGACAGTGGAGAAGGTCACTGAGATCCTGTATCACCTATGCCTGCCTGAGATGAGTCAGTACAGCTCCACGGCCCCAGCACGAAGTGCAGCATTGTTACCCTGGCAAACTGAAATTTCTAGAGTGGTTACCACTATAAACACCCAGTAGACACACCCTATCCCCCATCTCTTTTCCTAAGTCTAGGTCCTGGGATTCCATCACATGGACTCAGTGTGGGCCTTCTAAAGTGGTTCCTACAGAACTCACAACCCTGGACTGAGCCATGCACACTCACCTGACAATTTCACAGTCTCCCAGCACAGTGTTCAAGGCTTTGTTCTAGAGTGCTGCTCAGCTGTCTCCCTGTTCAGGAAGCCTCTTTATTCACTGCAGGGTGTGGACATCACGCTCCCAGCCCCAAGCCATGAAAAGAGGATATGGTCAGACCTTATCCAGGTCTTTCATCTTCGGCTTAGAGCAAGATGAGCAAGGGTTGGGAAACAATGGGTCCTGGAGAAAGAAAAATCTAGTGGGAACCTTGTATCTCTGAATGGCATGGTGCTAGGTTGTAAGTCAATAGGATGCAAAGTACATTTGGTGCCTGTTCATGTTCATGGTTGATCCTAAGCCTCTGTCCAGTACAAGAATTCAGGTGTAAAGGTGTTCGCTCCAGGTTAAAGTCTGCACTAGGATAGACATGCACAGTTCAGGTAGTAACTACTAGAAGAGAATAAGGTGGAATATTTTGATTGCACTCTACTCTAACACTCCTGAGACAGGTGTTAAAGTTTATTCCTAATCTAAGAATGGAGCTAGCTACTAATTAACGAAAATTAGTCATAGAGGTTTGGGGGACCCAGGATATATAGAGAGACACAGGATGTAGGAGGGAGGAGTTTAGAAAGATTGCCTTTTGACTTGAGGAAATAGAGAGAGGAAGCCACTGGTCACTTCTCTGATCATTCAGGTTCTTACCCTGCTATGTGATGTTCAGTTTCTATTGGTAAAAGATCATTAGATAAATGCTTCCACTTGCCAGAGTGTAGACTGCTCAAATTGGAGGACTACTCCTTGTGCAATGACAGAAACAGACACTGAGACAAAATAGTATAGGAAATCTTGTACGTTCCCTGTCTTGGGAACGTTGTATTTTCAGGACCCCATAAAAGAGACTTCCTTGAATTTGGTATCTTAGGTGTTCTAACTTCTTTAATTTTTTAATTAAAATAATGTATTTTATGTATGTGGGTAATTTGCCAGCATGTATATCTGTGCACCAGAGGTGTGCTGGGTTCCTGCAGAGTATAGAAGACAGAATGAGATCTCATGGACTGGAGTGTTTCTTAGAACCTGGGGATGTTTTTCCACCCAGCCATGCTGATGAAAGCTTAGGAAGTATGTCCCAGGACAGCTTGTTGGGGGTAGGTGTGGCCTTGTAGGAGGAAGTGTGTCACTGTAGAGGCACACTTTGAAGTCTCATATATATCCAAGCCACGCCCAGTGAAACAGACCACTTCCTGTTTCCTGAAAGATGTAGGAACCTCAGTTACTTCTCCAGCTCCATGCATGTCTGCAAAATTTTGCTTTTGAGAAGAAAATGGGCAGCAGGAAGTAGAAGAGAGCTAAGTCCTGGGTTTAAAAAAAGACAGATTAAGAAACGAAATAAAGGGAGTGGTGACTCAAGGCAAGATCCTGCTCAGCTAAACTTCCAACTTGTGAAAGGAATTAAAGAAAAGCTTAGAGCTCCATGTGGTGGTGCACACCTTCAATCCACCACAGAGAGAGTCAAAGACAGACAAATCTCTGAGTTCAAGGCCAGCCTGGTCTACAGATCTAGTTTCAGGACAGCTATGCTGATGGAGGGAAGGTGGAAAACAGAAATCTGGTGAAGATGTCATTGGACAGCAGTGCTTGTTCCAGTGCCAAAGCAGCAGGCATGTCAGCTTCAGCCATGTGGTTCTGGCTCTAATATTAAACATAGAAGAAAGGAGTTGTGCAATTTGCCCTGGAGAATAAGGAACACCATTGATGCCAGGCATGTGTCAGGGGTGGCCCTGATGGACGCTTAGAGATGCCATTGTATGAAGCTGTGAAGGTAATTCTGGATTGTCTTGGAGTGCCCAAGATATCAGAGATGTCAGAGTCATGGGATATCTGAAGAGGAAATCTACTCACAGCGAGTGGAGTCAGCCCAAGAGAAATAAGTGTGTTTCAGTCAACAAAGTTGAAATGGAGTTGGAGGTCTGAAGAGCATTTTGATATCAGACAAGGAGATGCAGGGTTTGGAGTTTCCCAGCTGGTTTTTAGTCTTGCTTTTGTCCAGTATTTCCTCACAATGCCTCCTTCCATGTCTTTTGTAATGGTAATGTATATGTGTGATCTGCTGTTTGATTTTGATTTTACAAGGAATTGCATTTATGAGATTGCATGAATCTCAGAAGAGACTTTGAACTTCAGGCTTTTAAGCAAGTCTGAGACTTTTACAGACTATGGACACTTTTGAATGTTGTGCTGAATACATTTTTGTAATATGATATGGCTGTGAAACTTTGGTGTCCAGGGATTGGAAGATTGTGATCTGAAAGGATACGGTCCCTAAGGAAGGGGCACTATATGAGGTATGGCCTTGTTGGAGGAGGTGTTGTCTTGTTTAAGGAAGTGTGTCATTATGGAGGCAGGCTTTGAAGTCTCATATATGCTCTAGCCATGTCCAGAGTCAACATGTAGCAGATCCTTCTCCAGCATGATGCCTGCCTGCATACTACCATGCTCCCTGTTTTGTGGGATAATAATTTTGCACACTGTAAAGAAGTATCTCTGTCTAAGGTGCTTTCTGAATTGTTTATTAAAGACCGGACTGACCGATAGCTAGGCAGGAGGGAAAATTGGCGGGATTTCCAGGTAGAAAGAGGTGAAGAGATGCCAGAGAACCAAGGAGTGAGTTGCACATATGTAATGATGGACAGGTAAAATGTCAAGGGGCATAACATAAATTAATAGAATCAGGTTAATTTAAGTTACAATAGCTAGTTGAAAACAAGCCTAAACTAAAGGCCAACCTTCCACAATTAATAACGTCTCGGTGTCATTATATGTTGGCTGGCATTCCAAAGAAATTCTGACAAGAAAGAATTACTTTAGTTTTGCATAGGGCTTTAGTGCTTATGCTAATTAATGTCTTTCCTGTTCCACTTACTTTTCTTATCCCTCTGTGCTCCAGAATTCCCAATCTTGCCTCTAATTGGGTTCTGTTTTCAACTCCCATTACTGATGAAGAATCAATACAGTGGGGAAACAAGGATATTTATTAACAAGAGAAATCACACTAGAAGCTGGGAAGATGAGAAGCCCTCAGAAATGTGGCCAGCATCTGAGAGAGAGATTTTTTCCCTTCTTTTGTCCCCCCACCTGTCCCAGGTACCCTGTCCACGCCTCAAAGGTGTATCTTGGGAATGTGAGCTTTCTCCTCCACATTACAGAACTGGAATCTTCAGCAA